TTTCCGGAAATGAAGCATAATGGTTCTGAGCAGTCTATTTAGCCTATAGCCGAAAACAGTAAAACAGTGAACACGATAAGGGATCGGTCCTACGACGTTCTAACTGAGAGTCTACCAATACCACTGATCTCTTTTAATGCATAACTCCGTTCAGCGAATCGTTTTGTTGATCTGAAAGGTAGAATTGAGATTGGCGTTCGAAGCCACATCTAAGCCTATGCATCTCTTATTGAATGACCACGGTGACATAGAATTACTTGTAAGCACAAAAAATAGATAGGAATCAATATGAAAAAGCTGAAAAGTGGACTGATTAAGGAAACGTGAACCTTCATAACATAACCCATTTATCCTTTTATTACGACTCCACATATTTAGTTAACGTTCCAAACGATGTGGATCTAAAAAACGAATTTTTAGATGCGTATCGTGATGTTGCGCTTTCAGTTTTGCATATGTTGCATTAATTTTTCATCTAGTAACTCTGTTGTCTCATTTCATTTCATTAAAGGCAAAGTTCCGGTTCATACCCACCTAATAGCCTTTAACGTGGCTAGAAGTGCATGGGACGCAGCTGCAGGCGGCTCACCATGTTTCCGCATCGAAATGCGTCACTAAGGTGCTAGGGCCAAGGACTCTGACACTAAACCCCTTGCGACACGCTCCGCCCACCGCTCCATATTTGTCTGCGTCGCAATGCTGATCTGCTATGTTCTCTCTTCTCGGACTTCTCTGCTGCTCTCCGCGCTCACATTATCTCTCATCCCTGTACGTCGACCCTCTGAACTTCTCCGCAACGTAGAGCAAAAGGCTTGTATTTTTTTTCCTTTTTCTCCACTGGCGGTCCACCTCCCACCTCTACATCACATTTGAGTAAAATTACCTCATCAATTTAAGAATGAATCTTGCCTTTAATGCAATGATGTGACAAACCAAATATGCTGTGGAAAGGCCCGTGCTGAAATAGGCATAATTGATTTATTAGTTTCAAGTCACCTGGAATGGGTGGAAAAGTCCGAAGAGCTCCCAAAAATCGTGGTGCCTAGGACCGTCTCCTCTTCTTCTACCCTCCTCTACCAAATGAAAATACTGTTTTTTTTGTTCGGATTTTGATACATAATGTAGAATGGAATTCTCCGTAGTAACGCTCGAACTTCGGCTGAGTAGTTCGATCACGACTAGGATTAACGAATCCACAGTACTCATTAAAGGCGTCAACATATAATATTAAGAAATCTTAACAGATGCGCTCAGCCTGCTACAAATGAGCGGGTTCCTCTCCGCTATGCACCTCAATTGACGACCACCAGACGGACTCCGCAGAAGTGAACAGCTGGAGTACTATGCCACGAATGTCTTGCTAATTAAGCCTCTTACTTATTCACTTTCCAATTTTTCAGCCATCTTGATAGGGCTTTAAACGAGAAATGCTGCGAAAGCAATTCAAGCTTGATAGCGTAACGACCTTTGTCGACTTCATCGCCTCTGGAGCTCGAGTGCTTCGAGCTAACGAATCGCTTAAACCCACTAAATGTTGGCTAAGAAGAGCAGATCGTAATGGCTTTCATTGTGGGAGAAATTGATGTGTTTGAGACGAGTTATGCACGTTCAAACGTCGGAATTCGAAACGGCAGGAACTTTCCTTAAAACCTAACATATGCTCTACCCCACTGCAAACTAATCACGGCATGAAACCAGCTCCGTTAAAATTTGACCCATTAGTGTAATAGAAGGCTGATCAGGGTGCAGCCGTGCATTGTAACGGTGGAGTAGTACAGGAGAAAGCAGAGACTAGAAATGACAGCGTGTGAATCTCTCAGAATGGCTCCATCCTTCAGAAACCCTGTCCTTTACCAAATTACGAAAAAAAAACATTTTGACGGTATACCCTTTACCACAAGAATGCTGAGCTGTGGATAATCCGCTATAATCCGCCGCCTTTGTCTGTCGTCGCCACTTTCCCCTGTCTAGGGCATCTTCTGCTCTGGCTGTTACTTCACTTGAGTCCTTCTTGATTACGTCCCTCGACTTTTCTTTGGGGCTCCTCACAGCCGCTTGTCTTGCACTTCGAAATCCATCGCTCCCTTTATGGTCGTGTGATCCTGTGGACTCTTTAGTAAAAGCGCCCATGCCATCGAATGCGCGGCTCTCGCACCTTCAGTTGGACAGGGGCAGTCTGCATGAACGCTCTGACATCCTTTTTCCGGCTCTTGTCGAGTAGCGTTCAGCCGCAGCCCCATCTCAACGTCCTCATCTCAGCGGAGTGAAGCTGCGTTTGGTCACGGGCCAGCACTCTCTGCGGAAGCGCATCGCAGGCCTTACCGCTGTCCGGTACTGGTCTTTCCTTTCAGCGTTCTGGAGCACCTTCGAACGCAGAGGATCACGGTGGATTCCCTGCACTTCATCCATGCCGCGTTGATTCTTTCGATGGTTTCTCCATGGCCGTCTACGGTTGATTTTGTTCCCTCTTTGGAAATCAGGATCTTGGTCTTCTTGACATTGAGCCTAAACCCACTTCTGCCAGCACTTCCTGCCACTTCTACACCCTGTTGAAAACTTCTTCCTTGGTATCCGCTATCAGGGCGATTTCTTCAGCGTAGAGGATGGTACTTGATGGTCCTTCCATGAGGCCCTTCACTATTGGAGCAGTGAAGGGTGAATAGTGCCAACATTTTGTATGGAAATTCACTTCGTAAGGGAAATGGTTTGTGTTGCCTTTACCTTTGACAAGCCAAGTAAGTTTCCTATCCATGAAGTATGTAATGTCCTGAAAACATCACACCCTGAAATAGAAATCATCGCATCTCCGAAATAAAAACATATACGGTCATGATTCAAGTCCTGGAGGCTTAAGGGAACTCTGCGCGGAAAAATCATGATTCTATTTCAGCCATAGATCACTGGCTTGCGACTCATGATCCACGATAATAGTAAAAAGAACTGAAGTATTGGCTTTCATTTTGATTAGAAATTCGAAAACTCGAAAAGGCTGCTACGCGTTCGAATTGCCCACGGACGTCTTTCACGAATGCTGCGACGGGGATGCTCAAACTTGGTTCTTGGAGTGCATTCACTAGAAGCTCTTTCTGGCCTTCTGCCTTCGTTGCATTCACATCTTACACTTCTACTCCATCCTATTCCATCGATCGACTTGTCTCCACTCTCCGAAATCGGCGGCGTCTTAACCCGATGCTCTCATCTGCGTCGCCTGGTACGTAGCCGTGGCGTGATAGACATGAAGTGTACTGACGACCGAGATTTAAGATCTCTTAGAAAACGACCTCGAAACTGGGCCAAAAGTAGGTATAGGTGTGCATTGGGAAGTCACATCGAATTAGGGAAATCCACCTCCGGTGGGGGGGCGTTCTTCAGAAAAGCAGTGCTTTATGAAAAATATCATAACTCGTTTGGGAGAAAGCCTAACAGCGCAGAAAACAAATTTGGTGTAGCGGAACAATGTCTAAGGTGTTCCCAGCATATATGACGTGGCGGAGGCCTGCCCACAACGGGTGAGCGCGCTCGGAAGTGTACAGCATTTTCTAGCAAGTCCTCATAATTTGGGCCGGGAAAGTCTTAATGAGGCGGAAAAAACGGTGATAGAGGTGGGTGGAGGAGGGGAGGCCAGCTGTCATCGGTGGGCGGGGCTTGACCAAGGTGAGCAGAGTTTGCGACGAAAATTCAAAACTCGGCTCCAACAATTTCTGAAGGCAGGGAAAAATGGATAGAGGTGGGTGGAGGAGGGGAGGCCAGCTGTCATCGGTGGGCGGGGCTTGACCAAAGTGGGTGGAGGTTGCCAAAAGAGTCGCAATTCGGTCCGAAGAAGTCCTAGAGATGGAGGTGAACGGGTTTAGAGGTTGGCGAAAGGAAGGGGGCCAAATGTTATTGGCGGGTGGGGCACGCACCGAAGTGGGCGGAGTCTACCACGAGATCTATTGTCCGGAAGCAGTCCGCAGACCGGAAAAAGAGGATATGGTTGAAGAAGAAAACGAGGTTGAGAGCCGTCGACAATGGAGCGGATAGAATTTAGTAGCTGAGAAGTCAGATATTTGTGGTGTATCAGGCCAAATTTGAAAATTTTCGCCGCAAATCTGTGTTGTGGGCGCAATGCGTGCGGCGCCAACTGCTATATAAAGTTTTCACTTGTTTTTGTTTGTTAACTGCTGTATTTGGCCGCAGTTCGCCTTGCGAATGTTTCTATACATATATCAACTAAGCATTTGATTCGGAGTCCACAAAAAATACGTGTAAAAGTGACGCAGAAATAAAGCATTCACAAGTGAGCTACAAAAACGGCGGAAATTTTTCGGTAAGCCCAATAATACAAGTTACTCTGCGCTTCTCATATGAATCCAAATGAAACCTGAACACATTTCAAGCTACTCTACGCATTGTGTAATAAAGAGGATAAGCGCTCGTGGTAACGTTCATTTACTTCAACTTCAAGTCTAAATTCAATTAAATCAGCCAACCATATAAACTTTCCTTAATTGTTTTGATTTCGTCGGCATTCTTCAAGGTGACTCCACCCACGTACACTCTATTTGGTTGCGAGCCAATGCTGAAGGTAGAGGACTAGGTGAACGGAGATACAAATCTTGCTCAAGTGCCTTTCACCCATGCAGTCTTCATATCCTGGCCCACAGCTTCGCAACTCAGGTCCGGATTGGTTAGAAAATGTTATCAGATTCCCTATATTACTTCTCGTATGTTCTTCCTGTCAAGAGTGAACCGGCCGAGCGTTTTGTAGGGTTGTAGCTCGCCTTCATTCAGTTCTGCATTGATGAAACCGCGTACAGTCTCGTATATGAGAAGCTTGTTGGAATGCATATATTTCGTTCCCCTCAACCATCCTGTTGCAGTTGAAGCCTAAGCATCTCATGTTGCGATGACATTTGATATCACACATGCTTTTTGGCTCTCTTATTGGACATCACATACGTTGAAATTCGGCAACTGGATAGTTCCCTACTCCTCCCAAGTGGGAGGAAATAGTAGTCATGAGAACTCACATTTTCGTCAAACCCATAGTGTTCGAATGCGATTCGTCTAGCTTCATCCATAGTCAGCGTGTTGCTGGCATCAGTGTCTACGACCTAAAGAAGCACAAAATTGCGAAGCAACGCAAAGAAGAATAAGTCCAAGCCTTCGCCGGGGTTTTTTTTAAGCCGATTCCCATAACCGCATGGTGACTAGCTGTAACATGTAACCCGAAACCCAAACGACAAGTTGTGAAAGAGTTTAAATTAAATACATATATATAAAGTAAAAAGTGCAAACAAATTTCATAATGTAAGCCGTTTAGCTCCAGAGGCTGAGATGAGGTGCGATGCTGTTGAAGTCCTGCGACTTCAATGTCGGAGAATGTGATACTATACTGAACCACAAGCAGTGACCACAGAGCGGGATCACCTACTCGAAGTGCCTTTCTGCTAGTATCCACAGCTCTCGCGCGAACGATACGTTCAAAATCGGCGAATTCTGGAGCATTGAGTTCGCCGTCGTTGTTATCGTCCACACTGGCAAACATTTGAGCGACGTCCCCTGAGAAGAATTCTATGAAGTTTATAAAATCAGGGAAGAAAATACGAACTGTGTAATTTTCAGGACAAATTAATGCATTTTTCACCTGCTGCTATGCCTTCCTGCTCAAACGCGATTCCCTGCGCTTCGTCGAGTGAAATATGGCCATCACCGTTGGTATCAGCAACCTGAGTGTTTCCATTGCGTGATTCGGGTTCTTTGAAGAAAGACGTTGGATATGAGGGCGGGGCGATGTGAGTGGCTCATATTTAGCGAGCTAAGGCTCCACCCACATCCCTGTTGGTCCTTATTTTCCAAAACGCTTGAGGATGTGCGGCTTTCGCTATAACAAGACTGACCTTCATGATCTGTCTAGCTAGTCGGATGGTCATACCGCGAATGCGACGTCGTAGCTTGCTGAACTGTTGTGCGTCCATTTCCACCGAAGTGTTCGGTACAACCAATTTCCAAACACGTTCGACATCCCGAGACCCTGAGAAAAAGACACGGTATTGGTCATCAGAACAATAAGTCGGCGAATTTTGCACGTAAAGATGGCTTAATTTCCAAAAACAGCCTGGCTTACCACGGGTAGTATGGTACTTTCTCAATAATGAAATATCTATTGAAAAGGCGTTTTCCTTGGATAGGGGGACTGTAGTGACATGGCGTGCATGCTCGCTCATAAGGTTCTCCCGGGATTTGCATATTCACAGTATCAACAGAACGATTTTCCGATCTCTTCAGAGGACTTTTCTTCTGTCAATGACAGCATACGATTCGGAAGACATTGCGCGACAGCGTGCGCGATATTGCGCAGTGACTTATTCCGCCGCATTCATAGTATGTTCATAGTATGCTCAATACCTTCCGCCGCACCGGGCAAAGATGAGTCACTGCACCGCTGTGAGCAATGCACCGCGAAAGTTGCAAAAATTGTTCTAATACCAGCATCAGGCCCAGGTTGAGAGGCACGGTTATGAAGACACCCATCGCAACAATATGTCTTATGTCGAAAAGGAATCAATTTTTTTTGCAAGCTAGGACGTCACCCGGAAGTGGCGCGCATAACCTCGTTCTGTGGTCAGTGTGCGAGAGCTGGGGCGGAAGTGGTTTAGTGACGAGTGGCACGCGTACCACGCAAGCGGTCTAGGGATCAAATCCTGGGTCGTGATTCGCCCCGGCCGACCGAGCCTTCCATCCCTCCGGGGTCAGTTTGGTACCGGTTTGTCTGGGAGGATATAAACACTGACTTGAACATCGGCTGGCCCCTGCAAGTTATTGCATAGGCATCATCGCGTTCAAGCGCCACTACGAATGATAAATGGAAGTAGAATGCGTGCCTCATCCCAAAACGGGAACGATCTACGGCAAATGCTTTATTCTTTATCCTTTATTGCGAGAGCTACCGAGTGAACGGCCTCGGCCAAAGAAGCTAGTTCGAATTGGAACTCTAAACGTGGGATAGGGCCATAGCGGTAGCTAAGTCGTTCAAGATTTATGTTTCCGGCAGGATCAGCAATCGAATCATGGCTGTGCGGATAGACACGAATGAGGCCTACTGGACAATACTGTTCGTATACACACCACAATCTGGATGTCCTGATGAGAAGGACGAGTTCTACATGAGCCTGGACGATGTCATCAAATCGATCCCGGAAATTATTACCTCACCATAGCAGGTGTCTGAATGGCCACGTCGGCGGTGACAGAAGAGGTCTGGAAGGGGTGCATGGAGTAGTGGGATAGAAACGAGGAAAGCTGAGGGAGGGTTCCAGACCTGGCTACAGCCCACGATCTGGCGATCTGCAGCACGTTCTTCGCAAGAAGGGAGTCTCACTGGTTAACCTACAGAGGTGGAGGGAAACAAGCAGAAGTGGACCACGCACTCGTAAGAAGTCTCTCAGAACTGTGAAGGACATCAAAGTACTCTCTGGCGAAGAATTGGCTCAACAGCACAGGCCCTTACTGGCAGACATTGCCATAGACTTTCCCAAGAAGTCAGGGGTATGAATCGGGAGGAGAACCCGTGACGGAAGCTGCACCAAGCGGAGAAGGGCGACCTCAAGGGAAATTCATGCAAGTTGATCTCTAGATCCTCATGGGCCCATACAGCGGACTTGGGGCACTGCGGCTGAGACCATCCTGCGATGTGCCAAGAAGGGACTGGGCGAGACGGGATATGGAAACAGAGGGCAAGGCGGCATGATGGGGCGCAGCAAGGATAGCTCTGAGCTCCTTCTTTTTCTTTCTTTTTCTTTCTTTCCCCTAAACGAGAGCCAAGGTGAAGGGCCTCATGGAGAGACCACTAAGGACCATGCTGCACGCTGAGTGAGAGGCCTGCGGTGCTATACGGCCGAGTGTTGACCCCTGAACAAGAAGGGCAACTTCACTTCGAGGACGTTGAGATGGGCCTGCGGCGGACGGGACTCTCCTGGTCAGAAAGGAAAATGTCTGTGCGCTCATGCAGACCATCTCTGTCCAACTGAAGATTCGAGAGCACCGTTTTCGATGGTATCGGCATGTGCTGAGGAGGCCACGGGATCACCCTATAAAGATAGCGATGGACTTCGACGTGCCATGCAAGCGACCGCGAGGAGCCCCAAAGAAAACGTGATCAAGAAGGACCTACCTGAAGTTGTAGCCCAGCAGAAGATGCTTAGGATAGATTAAAGTTGCGGCGATTGACAAAGACTGCAGACCCTGCTACTGCGCAACCAACGCCATGGAGAAGAAGATTTTGGAAAAGTGAGTGAGGCTTACTGAGGAATCTGGGAAGAGACGGGTCGCATGAATTATCTCTGCTTGGTCTGCTCCTGACATGTTATGGTCCGGCTGCTTAGTCATTGAACAGCACTCATGGTCAGTGCAAGTATCAGTTGCAAAAATGGATATGAAACTTGATGACACCATATCTCTAATTGGGTTAGTTCTTCCCGCAGTCCTTCAGTGATGGAAAACTGGTCACCTATTCCATGCTCCTTCAGAATGTACGCTTGAGCCTCTTGGAGTGAGAGAAGCTTGTTTTTGTCCGTATCAACGCTCTAAAATATGGATATAAACACTGAAATTAGGGCAATTGCTTTAGAACGTTCCCGATGAAAAAAAACACTCGCGTATTGACCTAATACTTGCCTGCATATAACGTAATGCAGCATTTTCAGCCTTGGCAAGCACAAGTGCGCGGATATTGTTGAATTCAGCCGAATCGAGAAAGCCATCTTTGTTGTGATCCACCTAAATAAAAAAGCATTTCATGAATATCACTTTTGATAGCACAATCAAATAAGGAGAGTGTGAACAACCGCGCCATAACAAGCGATTTTTTTTTATCGAAGTGAGATTTAGTAGCTTCACCTCATTAAACATGCCCTGAACGACAGTGCCTGATAGTCCGTGATGTACAAAGGCTGCATACTGAACTTCCTCGAGGCTGAGTCGACCGTCTCCATCAAGATCAACGCTCTTATCTACTGGTGGCAGGTTTGGATCGATGGGTAGTGGCTGTGGTACGGCAGTGGTAGCTGTAACACTGCTGTTCAACGAGGGCTGAAGCACCGAACTGGAATTTTTGGAAGAAGTTGAGTCATTCAGAAAATGCCCTCTATCGTGTACATAGTCAGGAAGAATTCATTAACGTGGAAGTTTGAATTCTTATGGATCATCTTTGCGAAGATCTGAGTAGTCAGGCGCGTGTGGTCGCGGACAGTAATAGGCAATCCTAGGCAATCACTTCGTTGATATATACTATATATATATATACTATATTATATATATATATAGTTTATAATATATACTATATAATATATATTATATATATATTATATAATATATATATATTATTATATACAGTAGTTTGGAAACTTTTTTATTTCGATCTAGCGTAGCCAATAGACAATGGAATTGTCCCGAATTCACATATTATAAGCAGAATCGAGTGTAGATTAAGATAGGCAAACTAATTTCTTGAATTTCTATGTCAGCATCGTTTTTTCTTGACAATGGAGCTGATTAGAAAATAATTTTAGGATTTTTAAGTCGAACCCTGCACGTTGTGAACCAATTCGCAAATGTTTGGTGGGGTTTTGACTCGAAGTGTAGATTGAGCGACATGCCAGCTCTTCCGTGGGATGGTGAATTCAGTAAGGACTCCGGATCGTCTGATTCGCGTCGCTTCATAAGAGCTTTTTGTTCTGGGGCATAGAAGGCAGCAGTGAGGCAGATAGGCCTGCATCGGGTCATATCCGCGATGGCCTACCCATCTTTTTTTTTCCGTGTAGTTCGTGACTATCAAAGGGAAGCACTGTTTTTCTACAGCGTTCCTTGTATTTTCATGGATCTCTTTCACTTGAGGCGTCCTCTCGTCACTGAAAGATCTGCCTGTGGCGAGGCTACGGGCGCGGACCCAGGTGGCGATGAGGTAAAATCGCGGATGCAAAAGAGCACATGGTACTGCCCTGACCGGAGCAGGTGGCATCAGGGGATGGACTCCTGTTTCTGCAGTGGCTGTGTTGATTCATACCAGCTGTCTCCACTCGAGGCGTTTTCCATGGCATGTTGCGTGCTCGTGGTGCTGCTGTTGTGTGTGTGCCGTTGTATCCTGCATGTCGCACCAGCCAAAAGCTTGCATTCAAGTGACTGGGAAGTACTGGAGGGGCGATTCGGGCCGCATCCAAGAAGATAAGCCTTGTGCCGCCCCGGATAGCGTGCATAACTACCTGGAGTCTTATCCGTACGCGCATCGATCAGAGCCTGGCAAACGACTACTCGGTGTGCCTTCAATAATGCCGAAACAGAAATCTATGGAATGGGCCTCTTCCGCTGAAACTGGGGAAGCCCCCAATACGGCAGGCGGTTGGGTAGGACGCTCGGGAGAGGCTGTTGCTAGAATCTCAGGGGCGCTGGATAGGCCGCCTAAAACGAAGAAGAACTAAGATGGCGATCTGACTTTCAACGCACGAACGCTTTGCATCCGAGCTCAATCGAAGATCTGATGATTGCAGGCCAGGAGATCGAAGTACGAGCGTCATCGGACTGACCGAGACGAGAAGGCACCGCCCGCTACACGTCCGTTTCGATACTGGAGAGAACTGTTCCTTGAAGCTATTGCGAACAGCAGAGGCGGTTGGCGGTGTGGCGTGTCTCGTCAACACGGCACTTGGCCATTAACATCGCCCCCATTCGCTGACGAAAGCCTTACGACAGATCGGGACGTTTAGAGGTGAGAAGATGTGTTTTCAACTCCTGCTTTGACACTCTTCGTCGCCTAGGCCCCCAACATCGAAGTACGACGAGGAAGGAACACAGAAGCATTTTATATGGAATTGGAGAAGTTCTCAAGCGAAAGACCATAAACTTCTGTTAAAGTCATCGTCGGCGACTGTCAACGCCAGATTGGCCCAAGGAAGAACGGCTGGGAGAAGGATTCACATCGGTTACTCACGGATAGATTGGAATGAGCAGGCGAAAGTACTGTCTGAGTTTATCATGTCGACCAATACCATCCATGGTAACTCGCTGTTCCAGAGCCCTCTCACCTTTCGCTGGACTTGGAGTCACCTCTGAATGGGACAGTTCCATGAATGAGAGTAGAACCACATCACTCTGTCAGATCGAAGGTTTGCCTGACGGACGTCGCTGTTGTTCAAGTCTACACGGGGATCGGACCATCGTCTCCTGCGCGCAAGATTCCACTCTCGATGCGTGTTGAGAGAGCAGCAAAGTTCAGGCGAAGCGAAGTCAGGACAGTCATACTGGGAACCACTTCGATTCGCCTCGTCCAGCATATGGATTGGATTTCGTCATCGAAAAGCATCGACTGAGTGGAGTACTATAGCGCCTCGTTGAAACACCTTCACGATTTGTGGCAGAAGGCAGCAGAGTTTGAAATAACCAAGGGGCGTCTGTCTACCGGAACTCCCGACTGATACGCTAACGTGGAGCCGCGAGCGCAGGCAATCACCAACTTCACGTCCGGAGCTTGCGTAAGTATGCAGAAGGCGATAAATGAAGATTCAAGAGCGAAAGAGCCACGAGTATTAGTGAAGCAGCAGAGGCTGGGCAAGAGCATCCGCAATCGCCGAAGCCTTTGCCAGCGATACAAGACCAAAGATTGACTGCCTCGACTCCGGATGGAACGTTTACTGCATCCCCGGAGGGCAATGGATGAGAGTCACACGAGCTTCTTACTCGAATCTCTTACGATAGCCATGTCCATTTCTGTGCCCATCTTTCACGGGCAACAGGATGGATACGTCGCGCTCAGTACATCTCTTCCGCATGTCCGACAGGCCATCAAGTTCCGGTGAAAGCGTACAGCAGCCGAGTTCGACAGGGGGTTAACCGGAATCATATAAGAACGCACTCCGGCAGTTATCATCGAAACTCTGGGCTCGACTCTTCATCGCGTACTGTCGGGAATGATCAATGTAGGTAGCCCACTCGTGGATAAACCTGAGGCAGGAGCGTGTTTGCTAGTTACGAAGAAGGGAGACTTGGACGACATTGCAAACTATCGCCATATCTTGGTGGCTGTCTGTAATCTACAAGTCCTATTCACACGAGTATCCTTAACAGGATCGGGCAGAAACTAGTATGAAGGATCAGCATGCGAGCAAGCGGGGCCGCATAAATGGGTTCGCACGTATCGACCAATTATTTCACACACGGTTTTGACGAGATCATTGAGTTGTTCACTGGAGTACAAGATGCCGCTTGTCTCACATTCATTCGAACTGAGAAGGCCTTTGCGACTCTGTTGGAGATAGAAGCGGGTTATCTGAAGCTGGACCCAGGGGTCGCCTACTTCAGTACATTCAAGGAATTCTCGTGAGTCTTACAGACAATTTGACGACGGCAGATATACTCACCATTGCTACAAGAGAGGTCAGTGTTCATCGACGGTCAGAGAGGGGGGTCCGACAGTGGCGACACCATTCTCGGCCAAACTTTCAGTCGCGCCGAGACGTATGGTCAAATGGATGGGATGAGCATGGGAGTGAAGCGTCGACGGGCCGACAAGCGTACACCACCTATTCGTTTGGCTGACGAGTCGTTTCTTATATGCGCCGAAGATCGAGCAAGCTGGAGCGAAGGACTGGCTGTATTTTCGTGACTGCGCTGTGGTTAAGTTGCGTCACTACAGGCTGAATCCTACAGCGAAGGACGATGTTTGATGAGAAACGGGATTCGTTTCTTGATGCCCCATTTCGTACGCTTCAACGGGAACGAAATCGTAATGCTCCAGCTACGGGATGTACTAGGTCGGAAATCAATATGATGAACGTATTCTATGCTCCAGCAGCTGACGGGCTAGGAGGAAACGAGCGGCTTGGAGGTACTAAGAACATCCAGGGAGTAGTGAAGAAGACGAAGAGACATCCGGCTCCGCCATGCCCATTTCTTCGATTCGCGCTGTCCTTCTGCCCTAACCTACGCCTCAGAGACCTTGGACTCGCGCAAGGCAGGACGAGCATGCGGTCAGCGCTTATCCAGCGCGCTGTCGAGAGGACGGATGCTAGCGAAGTCCCGTATACACGCAAGATGCAAGAGGGGAATCCGGAGTTCGAAACTACGCCAACGATTCTGAAGATTCAGGGACCGCTGCCGTTTTCGCCAAGGAATCGAAGATAATGTGGGCTGGGCACGTCATGCGATTTTGCGATGACCGTTGGATAAGAGCGGTTACCACTGGACCCCTCGGGACGTCGAACGAACACCTGGACGACCGTCGGCCCGATGGTCAGACTTCTTCACGAAAGCTCTGAACGAAAGGAATGATGGACTCCGTGTCCCTCGGGCAAGGAGGATCCACTGGACCACCCTAGCACGCGACAGGGACGAATGGAGACGTTGCTGGCGCCCGCTCGAGCAAATCGAGACCAACGGGACGACAGGTGATACAGGTGATCCTTGTATTTAGCTCAACCCACATTTCGCTGGATACTGGGGAATCGCCGAATGGTCGGACACACCTGCATCCATGACAAGCCTTCCACTATTTCAGACTGTTGAAGACTAGTACTTAAGATTGGGTTTCCTGTTGATAAAACACTTCACACGGTCTACAAAATCATTTTTACATCATTTTCAGGAAGACAGAAATCCCATTTGTCGCTGAGGGAATGTTTTACCTCTCGCCTTCGGTCCATGTCAACCATTAGTTTGCGGAAGCCAGTTGGGCAGTCCTGCTATTAGAGCCCGACAATGGCTTCTTGCTGGGACATCATCCTTAACGTTCACCAGGTCACGGCCGATGTTGTGCTGCACTTTGATCTTCATATGATTATGAAAAAACCAGAAAAAGAAGACCCTTAGTTGGGGATGTCGGTGGTACAGGACGTGCCAATCATCCTCCTTCGAAATCAATTTTTTTGTGGGGATAGTTTTTTTGGATGTTCACTCTTCGTATGCTTAGTCGACTATAAAAATGCCAAAAACATCCCTACTATATATAATGCGCTAAGTCTGTCTGTCTGTCACGAAATTCCGTATTAAGCGGACAACAACCTACTGGGTCCAGGTCAAGTATGGGATGGGTGTACCATATCTCGAGAAGTAAAAAACATACATTACCTAAGCGGAGGTTCGCCTACAGTGGGCGTGGCGTGCGTCGAAATGAGTGGTACTGAGGACCATGATTTCAAATTCAGTCACACAACAGACTCGAGACCGGGGACAAAAGTGGGTATAGGTGTGCGTTGGTAAGCCAGATCGAACTGAGGAGACCCACCCTCGGTAGGCTGGCGTTCTCTAAAATAGCGGTGCTCAGTGAAAATATTCATAACTCGGTTAAGAAGAATCCTACAGACCAAAAACGAAATTGGTAGGGGAGCAATGTCTAAGGTATTTCCAGCACGCATGATGTGAACGGAGGCCTGCCCACAATGGGACAATGGAGCGTGTCGTGAAGCGGACAGCGTTTATCACCAAGAGCTCATAAATCGGCTCCGAGATGACTTAGAGACCGGAAAAAAGCGGATAGAGGTCAGGAGGGAGTTAAATTCAAGACTGTTGGCGGGTGAGCATGCGCCAAAGTGGGCGGGGTTTGCACGGTGCTACATAACTCGTTTCCAAAAGGTCTGGAGATGGGAAAAAGTAGGGAGAAGATGGGAAGAGATGAAAGTCAACTGATAGCAGTGGGCGACCCATGCACCAAAGTGGGCGGGGTTTGCCACAATGAGTGTAGCTCGATTTCGTCCCCTACACGACCTCATAATTCTGCTCCGAGACGACTTAGAGACCTGAGAAAATGTGTATAAGTAGTGAAAAGTAGGAGTAGAGCTCGAAATGTGGACGCTGGGCGTGCATATCTCGAATGGGCGGAGTTTGCCACCACTCTCATAACTCGTTCCTAGAAGCCCCAGCGGCCCGGGAAAAAAGGTGGATAAGGGTGGTCGGAGGACAGGGAAACACTATGATGGGCAAGAGTGCGCACCAAAGTGGGCGGGTTGGCCCAGAAATTCATAACTCATAACGTCTTCTACAAGACCTCATAATTTCGGCCCCGAGATGACTTAGGGAATCTAAAAACATGTGTAGAGGTGAGAGGAGAAGTAGAGGTTGAATGTGAACGCTGGCGCGGCATTCACCGAAGTGGGAGAGTTAGACCACTCTCATAACTCGGTTCCAAACGGCTAGACGACCGGAGAAATGTGGATAAGGGTTGCGCGATGGAAAGGGGTTACATGCTAATGGTGGGCTAAGCTTGCGCAAAAGTGGGGCGGAGTTATGCACCGAAATTATTACTACTAGCTTCCAAGAAGTCTTGGACACCAGGAAAAAAGTATGGAGGTCAGCGAAAGAAATGAAGTCTCAGTGGGACACTGGTCACAGACATAATTTTTCAGCCTTACCACCTTCCGAAAAAAACTCTGTCTTGGAAGAAAGACCCTCCCCGAAACCGCCTTATAGTTATGATAGAGAATATAGTTTGACCTAATAGTCGGTGTGAATGGGATGTACCGAAAGAAAATTAAAATCTAGAAAAGAACAGTGATCATCCTGTTTGAACCACCGTGTGATGCACGCGAATGCGTGCGCAACCAAACTGGTTTGATAATATTGCCTCCATAGAGAGTGAACTACTAAGATCATTTCAATTCGGTATTCCGGATTGTAGGGTTCAAAAAAGGAGTTCCTATGAAGAAATCGCTTCCTTTACATGTGGATTCATTTTGAAATTACACAATACTCAATTGTTGAGCTAAAATTAACAGAAACAAGTGCACATTGAAGAGTAGGAATCACAATGAACCGAGGGAAACTAAAAGTTTCCAAACTTTTGACGCGCCATTATTCGAAAAAAAAAATGTTAGTTCTCAAACATGATTGAAGATTTTGGGAATTGTTTTGCTAGTCGTATTCTAGACTTGAGTCCTTATACACTTGATCGTAATCTCTATATTTTTGACACGGGTACATTTCGAATAATATTTCAGAAGCATTCTTCCTGCTCTATCCAAGGATGTTGTCAGTTTATCATCCGCTAGATATTCCTACACGAAAATGTGCTCAATTACGTTGGGTGCTTCAACCTAGGCTGCTAGCCTCTAAACGTTGTCAAATCGCCCCACCACTTCTGCACATAGTCTGCCCTTGCGAACTGGTATTTGATGGGAAGAACCTAAATTTCGCCAGAAACCCTAACTTTGAATTTGAAGCCACAAGCCAAGATGATACAGAACTTTATTCGGCTCACGTTTCGGCTTGGTCGCCTTCGTCAGAGCCTGGAAATCAAGTTCAGTCGCAGACCTGCCGCAGACATTATTTTCGACTTCGAAATTGTCTTGATAAACAGAAGAATCCAGGGCAACAATGTAACACAGGCAACAGCTGACTCACCTTAGATCTACGGCAGGATTTTGTTGAGACTACCGCTACACTTATTCACTGTGGCCTTGGGTGACCTAGTCCCTCGGCATGCAGCCGATGGCGCTCAAGCCCACAAAGGACAGCAAAAGGTGAGAGTTCACTGTTATGCCCAGACATTCAACTTTACTGTTTATTTTTTGGGTTTTCAGCGCTCATCGTTGTAGCCACCCCGCACGTTTAATTTCACCTATTTCGAAAGGGCCCTATTCTAAGAAGGCCAACTTGAAATCTTCGATATTATTCGAAAAATATAACTACACATCTAATAGATCGTTTCCTCTCATCAAACTCAAAGCATGCCAAAATGCAAAAAATGTGCTATTACCGGTGTTCTGTTCGATAACCGACAGTGTTGGTGCATTCTGAGTCGTGGTGACGAGTTGTTCGACAGTTGGTGATCTAAGCGTGAACTCCTGGCCGGGCATCTCACGTGGTTCCTGCTCGGAATCGGGAGCAATTTCCAAAGGTACCACATGCGGTGCAGTGAAGGATGCAGAAGCGACAGGAGTCTCCGAGACATCCACACGTGCAGGCGGAACAGCACTCTGTGGTAATGGCAGCCGTGCTCGATTCGTGATAACTAAATATTATACGCGAGACTATGTGCTCATTGGATAGATGCAATGTTCTCTGCACCGCGCAAATTTGCCGCGTACTGCGCGCGACTCATCGCCTCGCGATTCTGTCACGAGCTTTAACTGGCAGTTTTGCGCGATCCGCGATGGAACCAAACGCGTTGGCACATTTTGCCGATATCGGACGAAGGCGATGGAGCTTCACCTCCGGACCAGGGTCAACCCTATGTTGCTACAAGTAGCAACGGGGTCGTTTTGATGAGTTTGTAGAGGGGGGGTCGTACTTGCTTCGATTGTAAGAGGTTGCATGAGATAAGTGGGGAGTGGCGCGGGAGAAAATTTGCCGTTTGTTTCAGTGCGCGTATATATGAGATGGTGGAGGTAGGGAAAAGGGGTCGTATCAAATCCAGCTTGGGGGAGGGGGGTCGTAAAAAAATTTTGAAAAGTGGCAACGATAGGACCGACCCTGCTCCGGACACGTATAGTTTGATTTTCATTTGACCACAACTTCACAGTTATGACGTCATGTGCAAAAAATAGCGTCTTCCATCTCGTTCGAGCGAAGGCTAATAGGAGCACAACGCCCATGGTGAAGGAAAAGTGAATAGCGTGTACATTCATCAAGCAAACACGAGTAGTATGCGGTTAATGGAATAATCAAAACGAAGTGAAGACCCGCTCGGCGTTCAGAGTTTGCGACCCATCGACATGGGCACAGAGATCTGGGAACCGAACACCCTTGAGCCCTTCCCATATAATCAATCACTCTAGTCTCAGCTTTTCTGATAATAATTCGTGGCCATACAATAAACATCTACTACTTTATTGCGCAATGTTGCCGAACTCCTCATCGAGGTTCACGAACACGGTTGTGGGCGACAGAATTGTCAGGGGCACAATCAGCATGAGGTAAAAATGTTACGAAAGCGACGTTATTATGCGCCAAACGTTTCTCTACGCTCACCGAGTCACCGATAATATCGAGTCATCAGTGTCGTCTAACCGATCTACACGTTCTCAATTAGGAAAATTTCTTTTGCTCCTCGACGCCCATTGTCTCTCACCTCTCCCTCACTATGTTTTCCTCCAAGTTGTAGAGTAGTGATGCCCGCATATGCTTTTTTGTGTTCGTCGATATTTTTATTTTTTCTCACGTGGCCTTTGACTTTGCACTCCTACCTTCATTATCTTTTACCCCACTGCCTGTTAATGCTGGTGCCCTCAGTAGGGTTAGATTCAAACATTAGGACAACACATCCACATATGTACATGCATCAAATACTTGAATTACTCACTTGATGTGGTTTGGGGTGTTTTAAACGGCACCTGATTGAACGGCTCGGTGTCACTGCTCACAAAGAAAGCGCCTTGAATCGGCCTCAGTGGATCGAAGCCTGTACAATGTGCAAAAAGTAGAGTTAAATCGGTTAGCTGCTCAGTGCGAACTGTTAGCAAGAATTTTAGCCATTGTATCAAGAACAGCAAAACCGTTACCCTCTCGTAATTGATCGCGTGGTATAAACAGTGCATGTTTGCCGAAGCGATCTTGTAGAAGCTCAAGTGCTGCAGGTGGTACATTGTTAGTACTGCTGACTATAAAAGACTTCTTTTAACTCGATCAAATTCCATCATATCCATCACTGCGCTATTATTATTTTCAGCCCTATTAATCCCCAATCTTCCTGGCAAACTCTTGTTTCTCCTTATTACATAGCCATTTTACAGTAGAAACTTTCCCACTCTATTTCAACATCATTTAGGGACACTAAATTCTATCAGACTCAATGAGCATACGTGGAGGCAACGTGAACTACATAGTGAAATCACGCTGGTACACATACAGCCGTGCCAAGAACATCACAGTGACACACACTGCACGGATTGAGCTTGTTCCGATTTGCTCTATTTCTACTATACAGCAGTGTATTTGAATGTAGGTAAAAATCTTATAAAGCACAACCTTATTTGAAAGTCATGATATTTGTCTGAAAGGACTAATATAAATCGATCATTGGTAATAATAAACAATGAATCAAGCCACTTTCAAAGTTCCCCCAGTCATGAAATCTTTGATTACTAGTGGCCATTAAACAGAGTGGGGTCGGAAAACCTGTAAGAATTATGTAGCTGAATGGGGTTTTTTCAGGTGGATCGGAATACACCGCTGTGCTTAAGAGGGACTAACCTGGAGGGTCACGAATTAGTGGAGGTACACTCAGCCCACTTTCGATAAGCGTTAGCAAGACGAGGAATCGCATCCTGTAAATGCTCTGTGTGAGAATGACGATATGGGCTCGTATTATGAATCATTCACGGAATTCACACGAATAAAATGCTCCAGTCCATCAGAACAACATTAATTGGAATCTAGGAATACCTTCCTATTCATGTTGTGCTGCACCACAAACGGTTTCAACGCTCAAGAAATAAAAAACTAAAAATGCTCAGCAAAAAAGCACATCCCATACATCCCGAATGAGGCGTACTTTCTGGGTGGGACTTTGTAAGCGCTGACATCGAGAGAAGTGTGCACCAGACGAGAGAACCCGAGGACGAAGGAACGAAATTGAACCACAAAGGGAAAGGCTATCAGTGACCTGGCATCAGTTTGTGGATTCGAATGGGGCGGCTATCGTGGGCGAAATATGCGCCCAGGATCCTTCAAAACGGCACGATCTGTGTGTTTGCAGACAAGTATGCCTTATTAGTAGACGAATTTGCACCATTCACCATAGCGCCACATTGCTCATCTTATTGCCTAAAGTGAACACAAAAACGAAACCCAGCCATGTGATGTACCCCTCTCGCCTTCACGAAGTGCTCATGGATGGTTGGCGCTCTCAAAAATTTCATTTCCGGGTATTCTAACCGACACTGCGTGATGACCAGCGATTAAAGAAGGTTTGTTAAAGGAATCTTCGCGGAGAAATCCTGCATTCTTTCTAAACATGGATGTATCAGTTGTGATCACTAGAAACAGCACACAAATTTTCACGCATGAAGATTCGGTTTCCGAAGAGAAACAAACTTACAAAAACTAAACTCCATGGACAATCGAAGGTAGTGCGGGAGGAGCCAAAAAAGGGGTATCAGGCGACGGAAAGAATCGGGTTAGAGCGTGCGATTTTGGGATGTAGAGACAAATCGATCGATAGAATAGGACGGAGTAGAGGTGTTAAATGTGAATGCAATAAGTCAAAAGGCCAGAAAAAGGTTATAGTGACGGCACTCCAAGAGAAAAGTGAAGCATCTCCGTCGCCGGCATTTGTGACGGATGTGCGGCGGTAACTTGAACGCGTAGCAGCCCTTCCAGTTTTTCGAATTCTTGGCCAAAACAAATGCAATTTCTCTGTTCTTTTCATTCTTATCGTGGACGACTGGTTTCTGAATTATGGCTGAAATTGAATCATTATTTCCCCGTGAAGGATTCATTTAAGGCCATTCTGTAGGGAGCGGTGACGTCACTGCAAGCTGTTAAATTAGGCGCAGGGCTTTGGATGGATGTAACGAATCTCTGATTGCCAAGAATTGGTTCACTAGCCTTGGTAAACATAAATGTTCATCATGACTTAGAGAAAAAAAGATTTTTTTGCGAATAAACAAGAACAGATCATTAGAAAACAATTGCGCGCGTTCCATATGCACAGTTGATAACAGCGCTCGCGTAGAATTACAGCATACCAGTCCCATAGTGATGTCTTCAGCCGTTCAAGAAGCTATATCGGCGTTGCCGCTTAGGACGCACACCGCACTCGACATTCAAGCAACATTGTTCATGGGTTTGATAATGCACTTGGTCGATGCATTGACTTAGCAAGGGCACACTCGAAAATGAACGGGCAAACAAGGGGAAACAGGGGGTCCTGTTTTGCGTATTATTGACGGACTTCTGTGCTTTTTCCACCATTGGCAAATCATTGAACCCCCACATTCCCTCTACCGCCTTCAAAACCTATCATAATCGCTGCCTTTGATAGCAAGTCATTAACTATTAAAGCTTTCAGGCTGCGGTTCACTTCCGACATAGCCAACCGGCTCATCACGATAAGTGCTGATCAATTATGGTAATTATGTAATGAAAAGCTGACCATGAGTTAGGGCGAAGGGCCTGATAGCAATTTGTAGCGCACTTGCGCGTGAGCGGGAGGTGCCTGCTCGAGCCTGCCTGAAGCGAAATTTTGTTTATGACCCACCATTCTTGGAAACTTTCTCTGTTTGATTTGCTTTTTCTCCTCAGTAACGTTGCTCATCGCGCTTCTTGTCCAAGTTTCAAACAAAACAACGCAGCAGTTCGATTCGTAAAAAGTCTAATGCCTAAAATTACCATGGTATCATGGAACTCGAGGCTAGACCTGCGGAAATGTATTCATCGAACACATCCTACGAGCCGTGCTGACGGTGCAGTATTTTTTAGCACACTTATTTTAGGATTTTGTAATGACAACCTACAAGCCTTTGAAAACTTTTCATAATGTTTTCATAATAGGAAGATAATGAAGAAGCAGGAATATGAATTTGAGGCATCTCACTCTTTACTCAGGTCCTGAGCACAAGAGGCTTTAGTGAAGATATGAAGCGCGAGCAGTAGACCCATTTCTTGGTTCGATCAAGTCACACCAGCCATATCCATTTCCAGTCCATCATCTGTGTACGGAGGGATAACCGGTCTGTTGAGGTTTGCCAAAAAGCCGTCCTTATATGTAGGTTTGATATCCCAGAATTCCGAATTTGAAACACAATCACAAGCCGTGTAGGTAGGGTATTGAAGAATGAAAGTATTTAGCGCTATTAAAAAAACCTTGAGGGTCCACCAAAGATGCAGTGCCAAAAAAAACAAGATTTGCAACGTAAGAAAGCAGTCTGTAAGTTAAAGGCCATTATTTGGCACCAAAATTTTATAAATAACTGTCCTGGCTCAAAACGGACTGGCTCTGTGACACGAGGGTAGCGTGTGGGATAATGTATTAGGTTGGAAAGAAAGTTCTGAAACACCCCACAGCCAAAACTTTAAATTTATTTTTTATCCTTTGTTCCTTCTAAGACCCGGAATATATCTACCATCATCTTAGCAATACTACGCCAACCTTTGGGCAGTTGGCTGACACCATATTTGTTGAAATTAAGAGAATTTTTGTCAAACAAGCTTTCAAAGTCAGATTTGCTGTCCTCGCGTCGAGGTTTCTGTTCTCCAGGTAATGAGCGAGCGAGCAGGAAAGGTGGAAGACGTGTATGGATAGGTTCGACGAATATGGCAGACAGAACACCGCGGTCCAGCATAGCTTGAGAATCTTGTGGCAGACCGAAGATCCTCGCCGACGCGCGTTGTCGTGATGCAGATTGACTTGCCGCTGTATTCCGTGAAGCTTTCCTGCATCGTTCCAAGCAGGTAGCAGCGGGTAGCCGTCAATCCTGCAGACAGAACATCGCCGATGGGGAATTCCGTCAATATTTCAAAACTTTGGCAACATCACCATTCCCCCATAGTTGTCAGGCCAAGGCATTGAAACTCCACTTTTCCATATTCCAAACCGCTGCTACCTTCGCATATGGTTGAAAACGATTCATTTGTCTTCGCCAATGGCCACATGCCGCGGCCTATCGCTGCTACTGTGCGACGAGAAGTACATGTACAGATCCCCACCCGGTGAAATCGTGCGTACCCATCGACCACATTTCCAAGACTTGTCTAATTCTTGAAGAGCCTGAAGAACGTGCGGTGAGAGCACTCAAGATGCACTACCATACAGTGTGACGACTGTGTTGAATCATCTTCGATTACAGCGCCGACGACGTCTTGATGGACAGTAGTCGTACGATGCGCCAGAGGGATCAAAGTTTCCGCTGCGTAGCGTTCAAGCCCTAATGAAGGCGCCACTTGAGAGATCACGCCCCATTCTATCAATGGACAGATTCTGAGCACCTCTCGTGAGCTGATGCCTCCACGACGCACAAGATGAGCGCTCGGAGTGTCTCGCGGGAAAAGATTTAGCGCGATGCAACCGCTATTATTGGGAGAGCTGATTTGAGCACCGTACGCAGCACAGTCCGCTCCTACTATATACCACCCATGGGAAATTCCAGAGCATTCGGGAGAAGTCCAGAATGAGCGCGGATTGAGTGTTTCAGAACTTTCTTCCCAACCTAATAAATACAATCCAATGCATCTACAAAACAGTTGGGGTCGAACGCGAAGCACACCTATGAGGAGTTCACCATGCCAACGACGATGCACTTGTCTATCGAATCCCATTTCAGGCAGATTTATGGAAATAGCACGATATGAAACGCAGAGATGAAGTTATAGCAGTAATGACATTATTGTACAGAAGTTCTCCAATTGCATTCATCAATGTACCATTAGTGAGTTACGTTTGTGGAGATTGGAAATACTTCTTACGACAAGCACAACAAAATCTGCTTGATAGTGGGTAAAAAGGGCTGTCACTCCATTTTGATCAATTACCTATACATTAGCTCCGTATTCCAGGAACATTAGGAGAAAATAAGGTACCACTCAACTTAGAAGACGAAAGAAGTATTTTAATTCTTGCCCGAAGTCAAATTGAGCCAAAGCCGAGGTGTCCTTGGCGGGGGTATTATTTGGCTCTTAGGAGGGAGAATGGATAAACTAGATGAATAATTGGATTTTTGGAATGGTTTAGTAGCAACTTGCTTGAGTTTAAGTATTTTGGGGTAATTATATTATAGATTTATTGAATTCCGGCGTAGTATTAAGGATTTGGAGAATTTTGAAATTTCCCTTTTCGGATTGTGCTATAACATGTACATAATTCAAGATAAGGTACGCCGGTAGCAACATTTGAGCATCGAAGAATGCGTCATCATCATAGGTAAGGGGAGTGTTGATTTTTGTGAACATGTTATTAGCCATTCTTCCTCTGCGCGTGGCTCACTCTGGCAGACCTTCCACAAATACATTTGGAGACAGGTATCTTTAATTTCTTTCATGGCATGTCGTCACTTGAAATTTACGTGGCCTCGCTTATTCTTCTAGACATGGAAACTTTCAGGTTTGCGTGCTCAGATCAGCATATTCGCATGGCTGAGTCTGGCCCAAGATATCGACTTTCTTACCCAAAGTATGTTTACGTGTAGCCCTGCGGGGGGGGGTAGGAAGAGCAATAAGAAGTTTTTTTTGTTTGGTTAGAACGAAATTAATGACACTTTGCTACACTCGAACCCAATGCTCCCACCATCAGACGAGAATTAGACGCATTTCACATTATCAAAACCTAAT